GACTCATGCAGAGTTACTTCAGCATCGTTCAGGAATAACTACATGTAAACAAGTTCAAATTCCAATGTAACTGTAAAGAACCACATCTTACCTGGGTGCTAAGTACCAATGTACTGCTTCATTTATTCCAAGTTAAAAATAAAACCACTGCATCCAACTCTGTAAGTTATATTGATGTTTTTTTCTGTGCATTTATCCTTTCACAGTAATGGACATAGTTCTTATAATTTTCATTTTAAACATTTGGTGCACGGTTCATATTTTTACTTGCATTGCAGCCTACTGCATATCTCCATCAGTTTATAAACAGAAAATCTTTTATAGATTATTTTTATATTTTAAAAGTTGTTATTTTAATTTTTTTTTTTGCTTTTTTTTTCACCCCACACCCACATTGGATGTTTGTCACTGAAGCAACAAGAAAAATTCCTCGAATGTACAAACTTGTTTAGCTATAAAAGTAACAATTTAAGAAAAATAATCAAATCGAAATAAAATATAATAATATATATCATATAATAAGAACCATACATTATTGTTTGAAGTCAATAATAAACTACTTTAAAAAGTAACATTTGTAATAATTTGCAAAACAGTTCACTGGTTACAACAGATTTTGCCGTGTTTAGTGACAGTGATCTATCTGCTTACCTGTATTTGGAATTGAAGCTGTGGAGTCGTCTGCTTCTCTTCTATCTGCTTTTTGGGCTCTTGCAGGTCTGTTCGAGCAACTTATCGTCCTCTTCTTTAGCTTCCTCGGGCCACTATTCCACGCCCCGCCAAAGCAACACAACCACTTGTTGCCACATGGCATAGCTGCCAAAGAAGGAATGGGGAAAATGGCGTCCGTGGTGCAATAAAATATTATGTCCTTCAGGAAACCAGGCCATGGACATTCCAGTGAACTTCAAGGCAGTAAAATCCTCTGCCAGCTGTAATGAAAAAGGACACGGGGGCTGCTCCTGCCTCGACCCTTAGCCTCACCCCGTAAAGGCTCCTCTTTCATCCTTCAGGAGAAAACATAGTGTACTGACAGTCCTCTGTCAGTGCGCCCCAGGGTGGCTGTGGCTACAATGTAGCTTGCCATCACCAGTGTGTGAATGTGTG